TCCCTTCCAGTACCGGCTGGCCAACCTGATCAGGTCGTTCCCCTTCCTCATGAAGCAGCACCTGCAGGGCGGGGAGGTCGACATGGCCGAGGTCAGCAGGTGGATCACCCCTAACGACGCTGAGGCGCTCAGGCAAGTCAGGAACCCCCCTCTGCTCATCTGCAAGGTGAGAGGAAGGGCGGGAGGGAGAGAGGGAGAGAGGAGGGGTGGATTGCCCTCCGTGTGTGTGTGTGTGTCTGTGTGTATGTGTCAGCTGATGAGTGGCACATGCCATGAGGCGATGGAAGTGTCGCGAGACACGAAGCCCACTGAGGTAAGTAAGGCCTGAGCTCGCCTACACACGAGTTGGAGAAAAGCCCGCAGGCAGGCAGACCCCTGTCTGTGTCCAATGCATTATGTGGTATTCATTTCAGCGTCAGCTCATATGGCTGGAAAACATCATCGGGCACCTCTCCGAGGCACTGGGGGGGTGCGAGCGCATCATGAAGACCCCCGTGCCGCTCTCATACTCGTGAGGGAGGGAGGGAGGGATGAAGGACACTGACAGACAATAAGACAGCTCCAAGCAACCATTGTGTGTTTGTGTGTTTGTGTGCCTTTGCCTTCAGTCGGCACACGAGTCGTTTCCTGACGCTGTATTGCCTGACGCTGCCGGTAGTGCTGGTGCAGTCGCTCCAGTGGATGACCATACCGGTCGTTACCTTCATGTGCTGGGGCTTCAAGGCCATCGAAGGTCTGCCGTCCATCCATCCATCCATCCAGCCCTCCCGTGTGTGTGTGTGTGTGTCTTACAGAGATTGGTCATTTCATCGAGGATCCGTTCGACAAGGCGTCCTTCCAGCTGCCACTCAAGGGCTTCTGCGAGACCATACAGGCAAGCACCGCACCCTCCCCACACCACACCACACCGCACCGGTCCCACCATCCATCCAGCGATTCCTGCATGCATGTGCCTGTGTGTGTGCATCAGGCCGATATCGAGGACACTATGGACATCCCCTACGTGCCCCTGACCAATCACGGCATGGAGGTCAACTTCGGCCGCCCCACAGCAGCACACCCACACACCCACAGCCATCATACTCATCCCCACACCCCTTTCCACATGGCGCACATGCCGTCCACCGCCCCTTTCGCCCTGGCCTCGCGGCCGAGAGGCTTTGAGGAGGATGGTGAGCGCAGCAGCGGGGGCCGCGAGCAGGATCAGAACGACACCATGGACGCGCGGGGGCCTGCGAGGTCACTCCCCCCTCCCCACCTGGGCGTGGGGAGGGGGATGACGGGCAGGGCCTGACACACGACACGAGATGCTTGTGTGTCGCTGTGGGAGTGGGTGTGGGTGTGGGTGTGGGTATGTGAATAGCTGTGTGTCGTGCCGTGTGGTGCCGTGCCGTGCCGTGTTTTGTGGTGTGTGTCGTTGTCTATACGCTGGTCGGTGTTGTGTTGGTGTCTTGTCTTGTGTGGCGTGTTGTCGTTGCTGCTGTCGCGGTGAGGTGATGGTCATCTGCTGTGGCGATGGATAGTGAGGGATTTATTTCAAATGGCTGCCTGCTGTCGGTCTTTTCTTGGTCACACACACCACACCCACATGGACAGACAGACAGACAGGTACACGCGTGTCGAGTCTACCTGAAGGGCCACACATCCTATCCTTCTTTCCATAGTGGTCGAATCGTAGGTGAGTGGTGGGCGGGGCGCCGTGCCGCGTCGTGTAAAGTATCCCAACGAACGAAGGTGTGTGCGGTGGGTGTGGATGGATGATACCGCAATGCGTAGGATGGAGAGAGAGGGAGAGAGGGGGAGAGAGGGGTGTGTCGACCGACCCGCACTTAGGTATATACGCCTGCCTGCCTGCCCGACTCTTCTTTACTGTAAATAACACCAACCGCACGAGAGAGGGAGGGAGAGAGGGAGGTAGTGGGATGCACGTAGCACGTATCCCCCACACACGCGCCCACGCGCCATGCACGGACGTCAGCTGTCTGCCTGTCTCCACACAATGGTTGGGTGGGGGGACAGCGGGCGGACGCATGGGGCTTTTTCGGGCGGGCGCTGCGCTGCGCTGCGCTGCCTACGACAACACAACGGACTCTGTCTGCATTGCATGCCGAGAGAGTGACAGAGAGAAAGAGGGGAGCCATTTCGTACCTACCTACCCTATTACGCTATGGTATGTGTGTGCGTATCTAATCCACCCACTTACTTGGTTGTTTGTACGTGTGTCTGTCTGTCTGTCTGTCTGTTTATCGGTCGGTCGCCGTGTGTATACTCATAATACATTTGATTGTACAGGTGTGTAGGTAGGCAAGTAGGGAGGGGAGGGGAAGAGGGGTGGTGGCTGGGGGGTGCGGTAGGTGCCGGTCGGCTGGCCAGTATGTGCCAACCAACCAACCTGTGGATGGATGGCGTCAGCCAAACCACGCGTCAGTACATCCATATCTATGCGACAGGGGGTGGGAGAGGGAGGGTTGTGTGGGTCTCGTTCTCATGGAACCAACCGTCTCGTTTTGATGGATCTGGCAGACGGGTCGTTTGTCGTTCGTTCGTTCGTTTGTTCGTCCGTTCGCCAGTCACGCCATGCCACGCCCATGCCACGCCATTCCACGTCATGGCAACCAATTTTGGACAGATGCGTCATGCACACACGCAGTTTTGCTGTTTTGCCTGCCTGCCTGCCTGCCTGCATGGCTTTTGTCACGTGTGTGTGCCTCTACCTGTCCATCCATGTCTTGTATCCTTTTTGTGGGTATGGTATGGTGGGGTGGGGTGGGTGCCGGACGGACGGGCAGACGGAGAATGGCGTGACGGGGTGTTCTTTTTGCGGAGGGGTGTGCGCGTAGGTGTGTGCGCGTAGGTGTGTGCATGTGTCGTGACATCCATCACTCACCCTCACCCCCACGGCTTTAGTTGCATTCCATTCCATTGCACCACGCACGGCGAGCGGAAGGGCGAAAGACAAAAGCAAAGGGGCGGAGGGTATCCGTATGTGTCTATCTTTCTTGGCCATTACTCGCGACTGCTGGTGTGGACTGGACGAATGCCTTATATATTCCGTCTCACAGCAGCAGTGGCGGGCTACACCAAAGCACCTACCTACCTGTGAAGTGTGCTGGTGTATCGCGTGCAGTGATGGCCATATGACACGGAGAGAGACGCACAGTGGACAGACAGACAGACGCAGTGCAGTGACGTACACACGGTGCCGAGAGTGCACAGGGAGAGAGAGGGGTGCAGACGGGCGGGCGTCGGTCTATTCTCTTTTGTCGCCGTCCGTCGGGCAGTGCAACGGTGTGTTGATGTTGGTCGCTGTCTGTTAAACAGAGTGTGTTGATTGAGTGTGTGGGACCGGTGGCCCCGTGCAGGCCTGCGTGGCATTCCTGATGGAAATGCATCCACACACACACTCTCTCTCTCTCTGCATTGTATACGCGCGGTGGGATGGGTGGGTGTATTGGGTGTATTTGTTGACTCGCTTCGCTACACGTCAAGTGGAGCCTGGGTGGGTTTTTTCAAGAGAAACAAACATGCCCTCTCCCTGCCTGCCAGCCAGCTTGTGTTGGTGTGGTGGTGTCGCTGGCCATCGCTCCTTCCTTCTTATTACACATCTTACCTTGTCTTGTCCGTCCATGGTTTTCCTACGTGCTGGCTGCATCCGAAGGGGCTCTTTCTCTTTTTTGTGTGATGTGTGCATGTGCGTGACGTGACGCGTGTCTTGTGCTGGTCGTTGCGGGTCTAGTTGCCGTGTGTGTGCGTGTGTGCGCCTGAGGGGGTAGGGTGGGGGCTCGTCCTTCCTCCCTCCCTCCCTCCCTCCCTCCTTGCCTGCCTGCCTGCCTGCCTGCCTGCACGACGCTTTTTGTCGGGGGCTGGGCCGGCTGCCAATTCACTTCTGTCTCTCTGTGTGTATGTGTTTTGTGTGTGGTGCACGTTTGTTCTTTTGTACGACGCAAGAGGGAGGTCCGCCCCGCTTCTTTTCCCTTGCAGGCAGGCAGGCGAGCCAAGTCCCATGCTGCTGCTGTGTGTGTGTGTGTGTGTGTGTGCGGGCGTGTGTGTGTGTGTGTGTGTGCTGCATCTCGTGCACTCGAGGGCCCTGCAAAGCGACCAGCCAGCCAGCCACAATAACACGATTGATGTGATTGCCTGTCACGTAGTCCGTGTGTGTGTGGATGGGAGAGGGGAGAGATACTTTCAAGTGACCGGCGGGCGGGCGGGCGGGCTGTTGTTGCTGCCGGGCTGGTTTTAACGCCGCTGCCGGAGCTTAGCTGCTGGTGTTGTGTTGTGATGTCAGCTGCATACCTGCACGGATGGGTCGGTTGGCAGCCAACACAACACAACACACGCATTGAAGTTTTGACCCATCCACCCACCTTTTGCCATTTTGATTCCGTTTTGTACGTGTGTGGCTGCCAGTAAGTAGTACCCCACGTGGCGAAAGCTGCGCACGGTGCTGCTCGTGTTCCGTGAGCGCGTAACGGGCGGTGGGATCTCTCTCTCTCTCTCTCTGACTCTTTCTCTGACTCTCTCTGACTCTCTCTGTCTCACTACTTTGTGGTTTTGCTCTTTGGTGAACACGCTCTTTGGGAGGGGAGGGGTCAGACATCTCAGGAAGGATTATGAATGTGGGCTGGTGCGGTGCACCCTCTCGCTCTCTCACGTGTTTCTCTCCCTCCGATGTACCTGCAGATGCCTGCAATGAACACATGACAAAGTAGGCAGAACTATTATCTCGTCTGTCTTGTGTGCATCCTTTCTCTCTCTCGAGCTCGTGTGTGTTTCTCTCCGATGTACACATGACAAAACAGGCGATGGCTTGATGTGATGCCGATACACGCACCGATGGCTATGGCCGTTCGTCGGCCGAGCTGAGCTGCGTTTAGTCCACACGTGTGTGTCTGTGTCTGTGTGTGTGTGTGTGTGTGTGTTGCCAATTGAGGTCCATCCATCCATCCATCCATGTGTGTGTGTGTGACTGCGTGGACAGTGCAGTTTTGACCCATCTGGGTGCATCTGCATGTGTTGATCGTATTGTATCGTGCGTGCCTTTTGTAGGTGTGCTAGTATGCTATGCAGTCCCCCGACACAAAACACAAGACTGGACAAGACAAGACTCCTAGGTGCAGGTGGACCCATGCACCCATCCCCAAGTTATGCATCCGTCTGTCCGTCTCACAACACATAAAATACCCATGTATGTCATCAATCAAGAGCGAGCTGTTGTACGAGGGGCACAGTGCCGCCAGGGCGGTGCTCTCTGGCCGTGATGAGCGCGGCCGCCCGCTTGCTGTAGGCCCTGAAGGCATCTTGCAGATTCACATCACGCCGCAGCAAGCCTGCACATGAGAGAGAAGAGACACGCGCCATCACACTTCACTCAGGTATGGTATGGGTAGACAGACAGCTGTGCCCATGGCTGCCAACCCCACCCCACCCACTCATTCGTTCATCAGCCCACCGACCCACCGATGAGCTCATCTCGCAACGTTGTGTTGGTCCTCCTCAAATCTTATCGAGAGACGACAGTAAGAGACATGAGACACCACATCCCCCAACATGGGCCGGGCTCCCTCCCTCCCTCACCGTTGACGCGCTGCCTGTATGCCGAGCATGTTTCGCGCAGCTCCTTCCTCAGACCCCTGTGCGACTCGCGAGCAGCTGCAACACACACACATACACCAACCCCCCGCCAGTCGGTCGGCTGTGTGTGTCTCTCTCCTGCCGATAGATATCTCTGCCCGCGCTGTGAACGACGGACTGACCTTCGTGGTCCTTGAGCAGCTGGTCGAACCGGCTGGTGATCTCCGCCTCCGAGAGCATCGTGGCCGACAACAAATCTGACAGACCACGGCACGGCAGCAGCGGCAGTCCCAGCATACGGAGGAGGTCCTCTTGTTTCTTCCCCACCCTGTATCTCCTCTTCCAAGCCGTCTTTCCTGTCGACGAGCGCTGTGCACGCACACACGCACGCACGCACGAGCAGAGACATGACTTGAGGTCAGTCAGTCGCCCAGGGCGCCCATTGACCCACCCACCACCCACCATCAGTGTGTGTCTTCATGGCTTCGAAGATGGCCTCCTGGTCTAGACAGACAGACAGACAGACAGAAGGGGCGACACGCACAATCCAACCAACCCAGGTACACCGACCGACCAAAAGGGCAGCTCCCGTAGCTTCGCACCTTGCTGGTTTCGCCTGATCTCACTGAGGTGATTGACAAGACCTGGGAGGGTGGCCACACAACACACACACACACATACACTCACTCCTTCCATGTCTGCACCAACATACACACCCTGGTGTTTCAGCCTGGCCTCTCTGAGCCGCTCGTCGACATCAATGGCCCACTGCAGCACCTCACGCATATCCTCATCGCCGCCCCTCTGCAGCCTGCCTACCACATCGCCTGCAGACAACGTCTCTCTATCACGAGCACCCTCACCGCCCTCACCCCCGCCGGCCTCCTCATCGGCCAGAGACCCCTCGGCGTCAAGGGCCTCGAGGGCGTCCTCGACCTCGGTGTTGTCGAGGAGTCGCGACATGCGACTGTGAAAGCTCTTCTCCCTCTCGTCAAGCGGCGTTTTCGCGGCGTGCGTGAGTGGCGGGGTGGGTGTGGCGTCCAATGGGGCGGGGAGGCTCGTGTCCAGCTGGTCGTGTGCTGCTGGACGGAACTTCTCGAGTCGCTCGAGGATGTGCCGCAGGAAGTCTTCGTTGGCCAGACTCTCCCTGCATCCGTGACAGAGAGAGAGACATTAAGACATGCAGGGCAGGCAGTGGATGGGTGTTAATTAGACTGGGGTGCGCGGCTGACAAGCCCATCCACTGACTCACTCGATGGCGTCTTGCCGTGCCTGTCTCACTTGACTCGTCACCTCATCGATCAGCGCCAGGGCGGATGTGGCCGGGGCAGTGCTGGCAGCCGTCGACTCAGTGGTCATGCTCCCACACCGACACAGCAGCCCCCTCCCCTCTCCCTCCTGCTGCACGGCCTGGGCCTGCTTGTTCACCGTCTCCTGCAGCAGGGGCAGCTCAGCAATCGACCCCTCACCAACACTCACGCCGAATAACGCCAACACTCTCTCTCTCCTGGACGGTCTCTCGTCTTCACCCCCCTCCACTACTGAATCATCATGATCACGGGGGGCGATGACAGACGGTTCAGAATCGGCTGGCACGAGGCCACGCAGGCGAGACGAGAGGCGCTCAACGATCACGAGGGAGGACGCACTGGCACTAGCATCCTCCTCGTATTCTCCCTCTCCAGCTGCGGCGGTCCTGTCATCGTGCTGCGGTGCGTATGAGGGCTCGATGGCTGCGGCTGTGGCTGACAGAGAGACAGCAGGGCCTGGCTCTGGCTGGGGCTGCGCATGGACGTGATGCGCTTCGTCGTCAGGCAGGGATGCATCCTCCTTGAGAGTTGCCAGCCGTGGCTGGAGCGGATGAAAGGACTTCTCGCTCACGAGCGGCACTTGCGTCAAGGAGTCGTCCAGATCTTGCCACAATGTCGACTCCCTCTCAAACAAAATGCGCTTCTGGGACGCCATCTTCCCTACTGAGAGGGGGGGCGGCCCCCAGGGCGAATTCCATCTCGAGCGGCTGATCCATCCGGGGTAGAGTTTCCTTAGGCTCTGTTGGGAGCCGCGCACCGTTCAGGCCTCCCCCGAGATGGGCAACACGTTCAAACGAGAGGAGGAGGCAGGCAGGAAGGACGAAGCCCTACCGCGGAAAGTCAAGAGGCAGCGCTCACTGTCTCTGGAAATCGACTCCGCCAAGTCGTTCAAAGGCGCCCTGCAGGTGCTCGGCAGCAGGAAGGCCGTCATCGGTGAGCTCATGGTGGAGGAGAAGAGGCTGTGGGAAGATCTAGCCAAAGACCACCGGCACCCCAACATCCTGCTGGCGAGGGCACTCAAACGTGCCTCTCGGAGGGCGGCGGACCGGCCGTTGCCGACAGACTCTGAGGCAGCCGCTGAGCCCGAGTGGAAGCTCATCTTCACGGGACCACCTGGGTATGACGCCGACAGCCTCCCGCCGCTTTATCGTCTGGTAGACGCGAGCAGGCCCGTCAAGAAGGAGAGCGGCCCCTTTGACATTGCGTCGAGGATGTTCCCTGTTGTCCCGGGAGACACTGAGGACGACGAACAGGTGCATAAGTACATTTGTGTTGATGCGGCAATCAATGCGTTGATCGTTCTTCAGAGTGAGACGGATGGTGGCAATGCTCAAGGTGACGCCATGCACGACGACCACGTGGCGGTGGCGGACGTGTGCCCTCCGGAGAGGATTGACCTCAACCAGCTCACATTCACTGGAGGGGAGGCGGAAAGGTCAGTCACTTGCAGATGCCCAGACCACACTGGAGACACGGGCAAATGTGGGCGTTGCCGTTGCTGGCGGTGGCGTTGCAGGGATGCCCTTCTGCAAGAGGACCTGATGCGTCTGCTGCTGCGGCGTCTCACCCAGAACAACAGCGTCGAGCTCGTCCCACTCGACGACCGCATACGCCAACACATCACCAAGAAGACAAAGACCACCACAGGCGAAATGGACGCTCCAGACGAGCAGCACCAGGCCTGGGAAGACGTGTCTCCAGACCACCATTCGCCAAGCCGCATCGACATCCACTTCCGCGAGTGGGGCACCTTCTTTGAGGAAGGGTCGGAGGTGCCCATGGTGGATGCGGTGCGGTACCTGATGAGTGTGGAGGGGCCCTACTATGTGCTGAGGTGGGCGGCGGCGCGCGAGCAGCTGGTGGAACAGTTGCAGCGGGAAGACGAAGGCAAGTGAGACAGGCGGAGGAGGGCTGGTCGAGACGCCGATCGGTGTTCTTATGCCTCTCTCTCTCTCTCTTTCTCTCTCTCTCTCTCTGTGTGTGTGTGTGTGTGTATCATTCAGAACTTAAGGAAGAGATCCGTGAGACGGCCATCCTTGAAAGAGGTCAGGTCAGGTCAGCTAAGATCCAGCCATGAGAGACACGAGAGCAGACACGCAGGCAGGGCCAATGTCGTGTCTCCTCTGTTCCTATGTATGGGTGTGTCCGTATCCTTCCATCCATCCATCCATCCATCCGCCCTCCGCCTCCAGACGCGATGCATCTGGTGCAATGGGCAAAGCGCAAGTCTGAAGGTCAGTCAGTCTAATCATGAGACCACACACACCGCAAGGCAAGCACCCCACCCGTGTGATTTCTCCTCTCCCTGTCTGTCTCTTGCTGGTCAGACACGGCGCAGAAGGTCGGGCTGCTCGAGGCCGAGAAAGGGAGTGAGTCAGCTCAGCAAGGCAGCTGTCTGGGTCATTAATGCATGACGCCATGCTGCTCCCTCCCTCTCACTTGCGCCTGCAGGATTCATTGAGGGCCATCGGCTGCAGATAGTGAAGCGCCGACGACTCGAGTCACTACAGGCGGCACACATCGGTCGGCGAGCTCACACTAGAAAGAGGCGAGGCGCTCTTGTGCTCTTCACCAGCTAGTGTGGGGATGGATGGGTGTGCTGTCTGTCTGTCTGTCTGTCTGGCAAAGAACAGAGATGCACAAGAAGAACCTGTGCGTCAAGATCGCCCAGCGGGAAATGCCAGAAGAGGGGCAGAGATGGATCAACGGTGGGTGGGTAGGTGGGTAGGTGGGTAGGTGGGTAGGTGGGTCCAGGGCGGGCACAAAGGACCCTTCGGCCTGTCTGTCTCCATTTTGCAGAGCTGGAGGAGAACAACAGCCAACTCCGCACCCTCATCAAAGGTGGGTGCCTCAAGGCCGCCACACACCCATCCATCCATCCATCAGTCCGTCCACTTACCCGGCCATTGTCCATCTGTGTGTGTGTGTGGCAGACCTGTTGGCGTCCAACCGCCGCTTCTCCGCGGACATCGAGTACCTCCACCAGATATCAGCCTTCATGGCCACCTACTTCCCGCCAGACGGCCCCCCCAACATCCCAAAGGCCACGATGAAGAGCCTCTGGGCGCTGCCCGACGTGCCCAGAGACACCGGCTGCCGATTTAGGAACCACCACAGAATTGCTACACTTAAGGCCATGGTATGGACGTCAGCCATCCCATCCACCGCAGCCGCCATCAGACCAGCCGGTGTCTGTCTTTGGTGTGGATGGATGCGCTTCTTGTCTGTGTAGCACGTTAGTGATGTGGGGATCCTTCTGTTCGGCGACGGGCCGGCGACCGTCACGCCGCAGGGACACTACTTCCAACTCAAAATACTGGCAGGTGGGCGGGGGAAGAAAGACCCACACGTTTGTTTTGCATTTGGTTCGTGTCTCGTTCTCTGTCTGTCTGTCTCTGTATGCGGGTAGAGGGCGCGAAGGACCGTGGTGCGGGCAGCCTTGGTGTGGGCATGACGTCGGTGCCGCCCCTAAAGATCCCGCACTCAAAGCTGCTGCACGTCGAGGACATCCCTCAGTGCGCTGTCATGGGTCAGCCAACCCGTGCAGTCAGTCCGGTACATGTCTCCTTGACATCGGTGGTCCGTCCGTCTGTCTGTCTGTGGTGTTGGTGTATGTCAGGGTATGACGGCCACGTCTTCCACAAGAAGTGGGACACGGTCGAGTGGGACGCCAGCCTGTTCACAGTAAGCCCTCCGCATTGCGGAGGGCCAAGGATGAATGGATGGATGGATGGATGGACGGGTATTTGCAGGTGGGGACGACCATCGGTGTGCTGATGACGACAGCGGGAGAGCTGTGGGTTCTCCTCAACGGCCAGCCATACAGACACGTCCACACCAAACTCCAATCCAAAGAGTGAGTGAGTGACTCAGAACAGAACAGGCGAACAAACAAAGGACCACACCCGACCCGCCCGCCCACCCACCCACCCTCCCTCCCTCTTGTGCAATGCCATGCAGCCTGATGTACGCCATTGTGCACATGACGGGGGCGACCGAGTCCATCGAGCTCATCCCCAACGCCACGCCCCCTCCCGACCTCCAACCCATCAGCACCATCCTCAACAGACGGAAACTCGCCATACAGCACTACAAGCGAGACGAGCTATACGAGCTGAAGACTGGGGCTGCGCGGCGGGCGGCGGTGCTGCGTGAGCTGCGGAGGTCGGATGAGGTGGAGGGGTGGTCGGTGTCTGGGGCCAGTGAGTCGAGACAAGAGTCCAAGAGTGAAGACGCCCAGTGAGGTTGGGTTCCCGGGGGGGGAGGGGGGGGATGTATGGGCGTGGGGTGGTGGGCGTGTCGGTTGGTGTGGGTGGGGTGATGGATACATACATAGGTTTGCTGATCGATGTGGCTTTCTGTCCTGCCTGTTTGGGGTTTGTTAGTGTACGTCACGTCAAGGACCAATGATTGGTTAATTCACATGTATTGATGGATGGATGGACGGACCCACAAACGTTCACACATACACACATACACAGATACACGCAGCACTGACACACGCACCCACGGACCGTTGGTTGTATCTCTCACACCCACCCCCAGCAGCCGCCCAGCCACCCACACACATATCACGCTCTCTGTTGCCTGTCCGTCTGTCTGTCTGTACATGCAGCCTCCCTCCCGTGTCCATTGATCCCTCAGGTCTATACACACACGCTATCGTCCCTCCTTCCGTCTGTTCCTCCGTCCGTGCCGCATCCATCCATTCAATTCCTCCATTCCTCCACCTGTCTATATGTCCGTCTGTCTGTGATCTATCTATCCCTCGGTGGTGTGTTTCTTCTTGGTCAGGTTGACCGTCTCACGCTTCAACACGTGCAGCAGCGTCTGCGACGACTCCAAGATCTGCACACACACACACACACACACACACACGCACAGACAGAGGGAGGGAACACGCGCACACAGAGAGAAGCCACACGTACACACACGTGCAAAGGCACATTGGGGATGATTTGGTGTTTGGCTGCCAGGTGGTCCGTCTGTGGGCACCTTACCTTCATGTAAGCTGCTTCGGTCTCCTGGATGGTCTTGTCATACTCATTCCGCGCCTGCGTCTTCCTCACCAAACCCTCTGCACGCAGCAAAGGAAATGAGATGCACATGGCACACACACCATCCGCCCCCCGTCTGGGCTCTTGCGTGTTTTATCAACTTGTACATACCGTTGATTTTGTTGAGCCTGTCTGTGAGCAGGGCCACTTCCTTTTGTATCTTCTGCTTCTCCTCCTCCTCCTTCATGATTTGTGCGTTGACCTGCTCCCGCTTCTCGCGCAGGTCCTCAATGCACTTGACCAACTCATTGTTGTAGTTCTGCAATGACGCCCCTTGTGCTGCCATGCCGACCAACACTCACCTATACGCAGCCAGCCGCCCTTTCTCTTTTGCCTTTTCCCTCAGCCTTTGGCGAGCTTGTGCGAGCTAAGATGAGAACGACAGCAGAAAGACACGTCGTGGGCGTGGTGTGAGCGGCATTGCGAGTGGTTGATGGGCGCCTTTGTGTGGGCGTGCAGTTGAGGCTGACATGGGCAACCGGTGCACTGCGGGCAAGGACTCCCAGGGCCAGCCAGCCAAGAACAAGACGCCACAGAACAAGTTGCGCAAAACACCGCAGGAGGACATGAGGCTGTCCGGACTCATCAAGAGAGAACCCACACTACAGGTCAGACAGTCAAACAGACACACAGACAGTCAGACAGTCAGTCAGTCAGTCACACGCAACCAACAAGCAGACAGATAAGCGGATGGGAGCCCACTCATTGATTTGATTCCCTTTCACTTCACTCACTTGTTCACCGCGTTGCCTTGCCTGTTGTGATTGTGCCGTGACTGTCTTGCTTGTCCGACTGACTGACTGACTGATCTACCTATCTATCTAACCATCGTTCATGCGTGTGTGCTGTGCTGTGCTGTGCTGTGCTGCAGAAGGCGAGCCGCATTCGCCGTAAGGACATTCGCGAGGACTATGACTTCGAGCAGAAGGTGCTGGGTACGGGCTTCTCGGGGCCCGTCAAGCTCGCCAAAAACAAACTCACCGGCAGACAATACGCCGTCAAGCAAGCCTGGAGGCGTCAAGAAGAACTAACTGGATGGATGGATGGATGGATGTGTTGTGTCCAGGCCTTTCAACAAGAAGGGTGCCAAGCGGGAACGGGTAAGCGTGCCTTGTTGTTTGTCTGTCTGATGCCTCGGTGTCCATACTTGTCTGCCTGCGTGTGTGTGTGTGTGTGCAGATAGAGCTTCTTCGCAACGAGGCAGAGATTTATTTGCAGCTCGACCACCCAAACATTGCCAGGTAGGCAGTCAGACAGGCAGGCAGGCAGGCAGGCACAGTGGACAGACAGGCAGACGGGCTGGCTGGTGTCGTGTGTTGTGTGTTGTGTGTGTCAATCTGTCTGTCTGTCAGGTTGATCGAGATCTACGAGGACGAGCAGCACGTGTTCATGGTGATGGAGTACTGCTCGGGCAAGGAGCTCTACCACAGGCTCTGCGAGAAGCAAATGTACAAGGAGCAAGACGCAGCCGAAGTCACCAAACAGATGCTGGACGCCATCTACTACCTCCACAGCCACTCCATCGTCCACAGGCAAATAGGCCGACCGACGGCCACACCGCACCTACCCACGCCAGCCATCATGGCATTTGCCGAGTGCGGGTTGATTGGATTGCAGGGATTTGAAGTTGGAGAATTGGCTGTACGAGAGCGAGGCGGACGACGCCTACCTGAAGCTGATTGACTTCGGCTTCAGCAAGATATGGAACCCGCGACACAACAGAAAGATGCACGCCACCTGCGGATCACTCGCCTACGTCAGCCCTGGTCGGTCAGCCAGGCAGCGACTGAGTGTCTGGCCGTCACGTCAACCCATCCGTCAATCCGTTCCTACGTGGTGTATGTGGGCTGGGCGTGGATGAATCGAATCAGATACGCTGTCGGGCTCCTACACGAATGCTTGTGACATGTGGTCGCTGGGCGTCATCGGTGAGCTAGCTGCGGCCACCCACGGCCGACAGACAGACAATGCCACGCTGCCATAATGGGATGGCATGCTTTCTGTGTTTGCCTGCCTTGTCTGTCTGTCTGTCTGTCTGTCTGTCTGCGTCCTCCGTTTCTCAGTTTACATGCTCCTTGTCGGCTACCCACCATTCTACGGTGAGGGAGGGAGGGAGGGAGGGGACCGTTTACACACCGAGTGAATGGCATCTCTCTCTCTCGTGCTGCATGTGTGTCCACAGGTAGTGAGAATGAGATCTTGGACAAGATCGCAGCGGGCAAGTACAGCCTGACGGGGCCACGGTGGCCAAAGGTGTCCAGAAACGCCAAAGACTTCGTCAGAAGACTGCTCGAAGTCGACCCCAAGTAAACGAAGCCACCCACAACAGCATAGGAGGCCCTTGTCTGCACGCCTGTATGTCTGTCTGTGTGTCTGTTTGTGCCTCGTTCAGCAAGCGGATGACCGCCAAGGAGGCCCTGGACCACGTGTGGATCACGGAGCGCGTCAAGGCGCCTGAAGTCAAGATCGAGCACGATGCTCTCGAAGGGTATGTAGGCAATGTGAGAGGCGGGGAGTCTTCGACACCTGTGTGTGTGTGTATGTGTGTGTGTGTGTGTCTGGTCAGCCTCAAGTCGTACGCGCAGTCCAGTCACCTGAAGCGGGCGGCACTGACCATGATGGCCTACTCCCTCACATCAGAGGAGATCGAAGGCAAGGCACGCCACGCCACACACAGCAAGCGCAACACCATGCATAGGAAGGAGACAAGGAGTGGTGCTTGGTTGTTTGTTTGCTGTGTGTGATGTCGTTATGTCGTGCAGGGATGCGTGAGTTGTTCAAGGCGATTGACAAGAGCCGCGAGGGCACCATTCGGCTGGAGGAGCTCACGGCCGTCATGCAGGACCACATGGAGATATCCAACGACGAGGTGGGTAGCCAGGGCGACAGGCACGGCATGACGCGAGGTTGGTGGGCCATTGTCAGAACCGTGTCCGCCTGCATGTCTGTGCTGGTCTGTGCGATTGTTCGTCAGATTGAGAAGATCTTCAGCGTGTTGGACCACAACAAGGACGAACAAGTCTACTACACAGGTGGGCCAGTCCGCAATCCGCACTGACCACAATCCCATCACCCCCCTCCCCCATATTTGCGTCTTTGTCTGTGTCTGCGTGTAGATTTCCTGGCGGCCATGTTGTCGACCCGCATCCGTCTGCACGAGGACCTCATCCGCCGAGCGTTCGAGCGATTCGACATCGACAACAGCGGGTAGGGACGTACGTGCGTGCGTGCAGACACGAGACCAACACCCGCGTCTTTTATATATCTCTGTCTCTCTCTCTCTCTCTGTGTGTGTGTGTGTGGACAGTGTGATAAGCGTTGAGAACCTGAAGGGTGTGTTGGGTGACAACTACGACGGGGCGGCCGTCGAGGAGATCGTCAAAATGGCCGACATCGACGGAAACGGAACCATCGGTCGGTCAGCCGGCCAGGCCAAACAGCCCCTGTGTCTCCTACTTCTGTCTGTATGGGTGGCTGGGGCGGTGTTTTGTCTGTCATTCATTCATCAGACTACGAGGAGTTCCTGGCTGCCGTCACGGCGGCGAGCGAGTGGTCCATTTCTGAGACCATGCTCGTCGACGGCCCTAATGGCAACGAAATGTACGGGCCGCTCACACACACTGCCTGCCTGCCTGCCTGCTGTCTGACGGTCTCAATGCATTGACACATTGCAAACCTCCTCTGTCTGTGGTGTGTCGTGCGTTGCAGGGATCGTGCCAAGATCAAGACGGCAGATGAGCGGCTCAAGGCCGTAGCAAAGTTCTTGGACAAGGCCGTCGAAGCGGAGCCATCACGGTAAGTAAGCAGCCAGCCAGCCAACAACAAGGCACGCCACGCCCCACGCGCCATCCCTGCGTGTGGCTGTGTGTCTCTGTGTGTCAGCCGCGAGCTGATAGGGATGGCAAACCTCAAGCACACGTCTCACTCGACGCCTCTCATTGCCTGACACACAGCACAACACACCGCGCCACCATGTCCTCTCCTGTGTCCAAGTTGTTGCCTTTGCTCGTCGGTGCTGGTGCTAGTGGGTGCTACGGGGGCGGACAGACAGACAGACAGACAGACAGACACGCCGGCAGGAGGTCAGGGGATGGGCGTGGCGTTTTTGCTCAATGTGTGTGGGGCCGGACCCACCTGTATGTGTGGTGATGAGTGTGTGGGCGATGGATAATGGGTTGGGTGCTCTGGCCTCCTACTCGTCGTTCCTTCATTCCTGGCTTGTTCGTCCGTCTGTCTGTCTGTCCGTCGAGTCGAGCAGTGATGATGCTCGCGTGTTGCGTTTGAACACCTACCGTCGCTGTGCTTGCTATGCTATGTGTGCGTCTCAATCAACAAACAGTAAACTTGCACAGTGGCCCTAACTAGTAGGGGGCGGACGGCGCGGACACTGTCTGTCTGTCTGTCTGTCTCTCTGTCTGCCTGCCTACCTGCTAGCTGCTGCTGTGTGTGTGCGTGGGGATCTCCGTTTTCTAGTTGAGTTGATTGTGGTGTGACTGCACCCACCCCCCGCCCCCCCAATGCACGACGCCCCCCCGCCCCCCCGGCCCACCGTATGTGTGTCCTGGGATGTACACTAGTGCTGGTCAAGTCATATATCGATCAGCCCACTAACTCGACTGGACCGGTCAGACTGGACGGCACAACTCACTCACTCACCTGCACTCGCTACGCTCTCGCATCCACTCAATCACATCACTGACTGTACGTTGATTCAAGCAGGACATCAACTTGTGAAGGGTCTAAATGCGCCAGGATGAACTCTGCGTTCACATAATCTGACTCTCGCCACCTGCACCCACCCACCCATCCACACCACACCACACCACACACCGTCAGGCATGCTTCGCTTCTGTCTCACTGCCGGCCTACACAACACACACACGCACCTCTTGCGCGCGTCCTGTTCATCGCGGCAGATACCGCTCTCCACGTGTCTTCGCCACACACGCTCTTCAGCCACATCCCTGCAAGTGGCCGTAAGACACACACACACACAGATGAAGCCATCTGTTTTGTTTGATGCGCTGGCTGACATGGGGCAGTTGATGAAGATTCGGCAGTCGAACTGGGGCACCACCGACTGACTCCACGGCGGGTGATTGAGCAGCACATACAGACCCTACACGACATCACATCCACAGGTGCACAGCCAGCCCTCTTTGCATCTCTCCCTCACGCAGCCTACCTCCACAATGACGAGTCGATGGTGCTCTTCGATCACCACACCATCCTCAACGGGATCCTGTTTTAACGAATCAAATAACACACACACAGGGAATGAATGAAGGTCGCCAACAACACCCACGTGCCTACCTTACCTTGACGGCATGGTCAAACGAGGGTGCGAGAGTGCGTCGTGGAGGCCTCTCACGCAGTCTCTGCAGCAGAGATCTGTCAAACACACAAGCACACACACACACACACACACACCCCACAGCCCGCACGCACATGTGACCCCTGCAGGCAGATTGATATTGATATTGATTGCATCTGATGACCGCAACGCACCCGAATGCCTCAGCGTCAAAGGTGAAGTGTGCGCCCCGCCTCTTGTGCGCCATGACAGGATCCTCAAAAGCGTCCAGCTGCTGACGGGTGTAATGGTACCCATCCATCCCGACCGCCTTGCAAATGGGGGAGGGGAGGGACGGCAGACCGTTGATGCGCTCCTCTAGCCTCTTGGCCAGCGTCGACTTGCCAGAGCCTGCATGCGGATTGATTCATCACACACAGCAAATGGGATGTCACCCATGGTTGGTCGTGTGTGTGTTTCCGACCTGACTGACCTGCCACCCCAGCAAGAGCAACGAGGACCCGACGGTCACCAAGCTGCTGCATTGATGCATTGCAGTGGATTGCATACATACAACACCACACGACATACAATCACACAAAGAGAAACCAGCCATTGCAGGCGCACCATCAAACAGAGCTGCTCATTCTCCGTAGCTGCAGCGCACCTGCTGCAGGTCAGGCAGATAAGTGTCGACGAGGTGTTTTGCTAAGCCGTCGATGTCAGAGGCGTCAAGCTGCAGCTGCTGAGGAGCCATTCTGCTGCTGCTGCTGCTGCTGACAGTGTATCGCTGTGATCTCCCAGCCCCGTGTGTGGAGAATTGTGTGGAGAGCGTGAAGGCAAGAGATCTGGTTGAAAATCGTTGCTCAGGGGGATGACCACCACGGATGGACACACCAGCAGCGACAGAAAAGAGGAAAAGCCGCAAAAACATTCAAGATGTCAGCACCGATCGCGATTGAATTCATTGCACATCGCGCCGTCACATGCGTTCGTTCCAAGATAGATAGGTGGACCAAAGATGGCGCTCTTTCACTCAGCTAGACAAAGTTGGTTCACAGCTGTTTGATCCACACACCGCACCCTGCATGTGTGTGTGCCTCCACCCATCATTGCATGCAAGCAGCCCAGCCTCCATCCATGCCCCACACACAAGACAAGCAGCCTATCAACACACAGACAAAACACCCCCTTCCTGCTCCTCCCTGACCAACTAGTAACTCCAGCATCCATCCATCGTCTGTCTGTCCGTCTACTGCTGGTCCTTTTGCTGTTTGCGTTTCTTCTGCTTCTGCCGCTTGGCCGCCTTCTTCTCCTGACGCCGACGATCCTCCTCCTATCACATGACAGACACCATTCAACCAACCACACATTGCACAACAAAACATCCACACACACATACTTACCCGTCTCTGTCGTCCCTCCCTCCCTCCCTCCCTCGCTGCCCACATCCATCCCCACCTACGTACCTGCAGCCTCAGCTCTTCCTGCAGTGCCTGCTCGAAGGTCAGGTGTTCCTCCTCATCGTCGTTGTCCCATCCCTCCAACCAGTCCTCAGGCACACCTGCCGGCAGCGGACCAAATAAACCACCACCACCGCCAGGACTCCCCATTGACCGACGTGGCTGCTGCTGCTGCTGCGACTGGTCCAGGGGCTGCGATATCGCAGATGATGCAGATGGTGGCACGAGTGATGGGGCGGATGGGGCAGGAGCAGCCACAGGCGGCTCTAGCGACTGTGGGCCGTCCAGCGAGCTCGACGAGGGACACGACCCACTGTCTGCCCGCGGCCTGGAATCCGTTCCCTGGGCCGACGGCTGGCTGCTCTCGCCATCCTCATTACTCTCACTCGCCAACCGCGGCAGCGACAGAGATGCCGCCACTGTCAGATGGGGTGCGCGCGGCTGCTTCTCCTGCTCTGGCGTGTTGATGCCGGAATCGCGGTACCGTGTTGACGCCGCCCCGTGTGTGCCGCAGGTGAGATTGAAGAGGGCAGCGCCCAGGTCGTCGTCCTGCAGTTCGCGGAAGATGCGCTCGAGACGCGGGAGGGGGTCGGTGAGGCAGGGGGGCAGGAGAGTGGGGGTGTCGGGGGCTGAGGGGACGGGTGGAACGCTGCCGTTGAGAGCGAGAGGCTCCTTTGCTTCAACCTCACCTGCATGGATGGATGGACGGACACATACATGCATTTGTCGCTTCCCCCGTGCCACCTACCCAACTGACCTAGAGCGGTCTGCAGGACCTCAGGGTTCCTGATCCACGGGATGCCTTGCCCATCATCTGTCAGGTCCAGCACACGCAGGTCCGTGCACACGGCCTGCCGCCCCCTGAACTCGGTGAAGCCGCCGTACAGCAGCAGCTGCCGCCCGATGACCGTGCAGCTGCACCCGATGCGGCGCAACGGCTTGTCGCCGTCAACCTTGACCTCAATCCACTCGCCAGAACGGACGTTGAGCAGATGCAGACGCACTGACACACACGGGGCAGGGGCCGCGAGAGGGGCATGTTCGTGTGTGCCCACTGATATGGTCTGTGTGTGTGAAAGGTAGGGAGGGTGCTTACTGTGCTTCTGTCCGGTGCGGCCCCACAGCACTGCCAGCTGATTGTCATCGAAACAGACAGCGTTGTGAAACACCAGGTTCGAGGGCGGCGATCCTAACAGACGGAGTCAGACCATCTGCACCACCCTGCCTCCCTCCCTGCCATCCTGCCATCATCTGACCGCACCAGTGCATGTGAGTTGGTGCCAGGTGAGTGTGGGGATGTCCAGGTACCACACGTCGGGGTAGCTGCGGGGAACCACCGTGTCGGGGTCGCACGTCCCTCCCATGATGTAGATGCGATGATCCACAACCGTCGCCTGGACGGTTCGGATGGACAATACATACAACCAACAGACGTGCAAGTCGCTTGTCTGTATGCATGTGTGATTCTACTCATTCATTCGGTCCCCTCCCCTGCCCTCCCCCCCACTTCACCGTGTGGGAGTGCCGCGGTGGCGGGCTGGGCCCTCTGACAGGCCGGGTGGTCCACTTGCACAGGTGCGTATCGAAGACGTCCACATCGCTGAAGACCGTGCAGTCCTCACTCATGCCGCCATACACGTAGATGTGCTCATCCACCACCGACGACGTGTACGACAGCCGCAGCCGCGACGGCCACGTGTCGTCAATGACCTCGTACCACCGCCAGCAGGCCGTATCGAGGATCAGTACGCAGCTGGTGTCGCCCTGCACGAGGGTGCGGATGGCGAAGATGCGGTCGCCTATGACGTTGGATGTGTGCATGAAGTGGCTGCGCCACGAGATGCCGTTCATGTCCACCCTGGGCCGGAACCAGCGCATCTCGGTCAGGTCCAGCACGCACACCTCGCTGATGCTCTCGCGGCCGTCGAAGCCGCCAAACACGACCAGCATGCCGTTGACGACGTCGGCGCTGTGCCGGAAGCACCCGGCGGGCACTAGGCCGGTCATCTCGGGCAGGTACCAACGCATTCTGCCGTTGGCGACGTCGGCGCTGTGCCGGAGGCACTCCGGCTGGTGCCACGATGCTGACGTGGAACAAGAAGACAGAGAAAATGCGGCTTTGCCCGAGCATTTGAGCTCGCCCTGGGGGCTGTGGGCCAGTCTCCCGTCTCACCGATGCTTCTTTTCCCCTTGACGCCGCAGAGGAAGACCGTGGTGCAATCGTCGCTTTGCAATGAGCTGGGCAATTGCATCCACTCATTCGATCGGAGTCCGGGAGTGGATGCAATTGCCCAGTGACTGCAATGCCCATCAGGTTCGTATCGTGCCTTCTAGGTGAGAAGAGTGACAAGTGTGGAAGGCCGTGCGAAGGGAAGGTAGAGGGCAGCGCCTTCCAGCCTCAGCCGATCAGCTGTGCGGTCGGGTATGCCAACGGCCGCATGCATGCGTCGTTAGTCCCAATCTGTCCTGACTTCCCTCAATTCTTCGAGCCCCTGTACGAACTTCCCTTCAATTCTTCGAGATGGCATTCCCCAAGGTCGCCTTGTTGTGCGCTTCGCTGCTGATCAGTGCCGCGGCAGACGTTTCACCCGATAAACCCGCTGACGAGCAGTTCGACCGTGATGCTGCGGACTTGAAGTTCCTCGATGATGTCGTGGACGCAATAGTGCCAGACCGTAAGCGTACAAGCACCATGTGTGTGTCTGCGCTGCCATGGCCATGCCAATCGATGCAGTGGATAAATAAGATGAGTCATGTGCCGAGACGGACCCGTATTGCCAGCCGCTGGCGCGAGGAGGTGAGTGAGCACAGTAGTAGGCTCAATGGCGGCAATCCACGACCTCCCTCTCCCTACCCTCCCTTCTTTCTGTGCATGTATTGTATGCAGCCGTCCGTTTTATCTCTCCTGTGCTGGTGCAGACGAACGAAACGAACGGCACCAAATACAGTAAGCTGGGGAGGTGGACGCGGTGACGTCATTCTCTGGCCTGTGTATGCACCGCAGTTGCAAGCGCTGAGCGAGTGGTTTTTGGCTGCGACGACGAAGACGCGGAGTGCCTCGCGGCGGCCGAGCGTAAGTGGGACTCTGATTGTGTGGCCATTCGTTGCGCTCATTGATCACCCAAAGCGGTTGGATGCATGTGCAGAAACGCGGATTAACAACCCAACAGCCGGAGTCCCTGCGATTTCTGTGGACAAGTGTGGCCAGGGTCGAGCATTCACAGACACACTTGCTGTATGTCCCTCTGAATGCTTTGAATGAATGTATTGGTGCGGCCAGGCGCTTTTAGGAGTCGGATACGATTGCGGTTTCGAAGCTGCGAACGTGAGAAAGCGAACCGTCACTCATGTGACCATCATCCACTTTTTGCGTCCTTGACAGTTCTTCTGTGAGAATCTGGCAGGCGCCGGTGCCTGCACCGACGCAACCGGCGCCGCGGTCAATTGTGTCGGAACAGTCGCTGTCGACTATGGCCAAACGATGGACGACTGTCTGCTAACAATCCGCGTCATCGACAATTCTATCTGCACCGCGATAAGGGACCCTTTCTTTGGCTTTCTCATCCGCGGCTGCGACTGCTTCCTCTGGATCGACTGCTTGCCTTGAAGTCGTCGCGGGGTTTTTGGTTCTCTCTATCTATCTCTGTCTCTGTCTCTGTGTGTGTATGTCTGTTGGATTGTTCGTCCAAAGGGACAACAATATAACAGAGGGCATACATGCCGCGTGCTAGACGATATAGATGGGAGTGAGCGAGTGAGTGAATGAATGAGTGAGTGCTTGCTGTTCTTATTTTTCGTATTTTTCGTCCTGCAGAAGCAGGAGCAGAGCACCCACTGAGTACAGTACTGTATGTCCGTATGCACGCAGTATTGTGCTGTGCTATATTGGATGTCGTGAGGGCCCTCAGCGCGTTTAGGAGCCTCTTAGAATGTAGGGTCACCGCTATATGGATACTGCTTTTGGCTGCTCTTGGCAGGCACGGCTGACCGAGTGCCGACGGATAGAGAGAGCACGCGATTATTTGACAGGAAGGACCCAATTGGGACGACCGGTGAGCTTATGTAGCTATATGCATGTGGGTGGACGCAGGAAAGAAGTGTTTGCACGACCGCCTTTACGTGCATGATTGACAAGTGGAGCCATGCGCATGCTTGTACATTGTTGTATTGTATTTTTTTTTTCTGTCTAGCTAAACAGTACAATCTACATTTCTTTGCCTGCACTTGTTTGACGTGTCTGTTCATTTGTTTGGCCTGTCTGTTCATTTGTTTGGCCTTTCCATTTTGCCCGCTCGTCGGGGGGATTGCATTGTCGCATCCTCTTTCATCCCCATGTGCTTGAACAACGGTCCGATAGAGAAACAACGGTCGAGTGAAACGCGCTTAAGAAGCGAGAACCACGGTCCTTAATTTAGCAGAATGAATGGTGACGAAGCTCACCAGACCAACAAGCATATCCACGCATCTGTGCACTACAAAACTGCCATTTCCGTGTACAATTCTACATCTGTTCTGGTCAGCCTGCGGCCGGCCGGCCGGCACGGCCGGCACGCAGGCAGTGGGCCATGGCCAACATCAGTCAGTCATATGTACATACCCTCCCATGCACTCACTATACTCACAGCACTCCTGACATGATGCCCTGGCTATCCCTGGCCCCCACGGGACTCACCGACGCCTGAAGACATGCATGACACAGGACAGCCAGGCAGGCAGGCAGCCACACAAATATTTGAGACACGTAGAGGCATCCATGACTGCATAGGATCGCCGTCTTGATGTGCGCTTACTTACCCTCACGAGGCTGCCCATCTTGCGCCTGTCCGCAGTGCGCCGCTCAAGGCTTCGGCCGCGCAGCCTCGCCGACTGCCCTTTGGCAGTCAGCGAACCAGCCAGGAGGGAACTCTGCTGCTGGGGTGCGTGTTGTTGCCTCCCTCCACTCGCAGCCTGTCTGCTCCGCAAAAGCTCCTTCAGGTCAATCATGCCTGCACCAGGGGCGAACGTCGGTGGCCTCTCCGTGTCAGTGAGGGGCGACATGAGGCGGGGAGGGGGCAGGGGGGACGGCGGCAGGCCAGTCGTGGCTGCGTCATCGGCCGAAGGCTGTTGCTCGGGCGAGAGTGAGACCGGCAGTGTCGCTGCCGCCTGCTGTTGCTGTGCTGCCTTGGGAGCCTCGTCGGCCTCTGCCTCTTCTTCCTCCGTCTTGCCATCTCCCTTGTCGCTAGTGTGCTCTTGTTGGGGCTTGCTACCGTCCTTGTTCTGGGTTGGGGAGGGGCAGAGGGGGTCAGAGAGCGGCGGGGAGGTGGCCGACCCGCCGTTGACACTCTTAGGACTGCAGGGGGCCGCCGAGTCGTCGTGCGCCTCGGCAGCGAAGGTCGTCATGGATTTCATCCGCGGCGGCCTGGGCTGCGGTGTGGGCTCCTTGACCTTGTCTGTGTCCTCCACCGTCCCCTGACGCGACGGGATGGCCAGATACGACGGCCGACGGCCGAAGAATGCCGTCTTTTGTTGCTGCACAAGCAGCAGGGACCCAGAACCACCCCCATCCTCACCACCAGCACCACCACCACCATCCCTGTCCGTCGCCACCTCTCTGTGCTGGGTGGACTCTTCGTGCTTGTCCTCCTGACACGGCTCAGCAGCCTCAGTGAGGTTCAGGGAGCCGCTCTGGCCGGCACTCTCCCGAAGGCCCCCGCTGGGCATCATGCCCAGGGTGGCAGCAGCCACGTCGTCGGCGGACTGCAGCGACATGAAGCTGCGGTCGCCGGGGACGTGTGAGGGGGCCGTGGCGTGGTGGTCGGTGACTGGGATGGGCACGGGAATGGGCGGCGGGGGCGAGGCGATGGACGGGCTGGACAGGTGGGAGAGCGTCGAGCCGCTCGCGTTGAGAACGCGGCGGCCGGCCGTAAGCCGGAAGGCATGGCGGTAGAGGTCAAGCGCCTGCACGAACACCTGCGGAAGACAGGGAGGCACATTAGAGGCATGAGCATGCCTGGCTCGCGGCGCAACTTACTTGTAAGGCGGACGGCTGGAGGCCCTGTGCTGCAATGAAGTCTTCCAAATTGTTTAAGACGCGTTCCTGCATGCGTGGAGGAGAGGCAGAGGACACACAAGAACTAGAAGCATGGATGCACCAAAGCGGTTGCTGACCGGTCCACACTGACCCGATTGCGATTGACTTCCTCTTGCTTCTTGGCCACCAAGAAAGCCGTCATGCGGTCCCTCATGTCCACCTTGCTCAAAGACTGCAGTGTCATCATATTCGCCTGCAGGTCAGTCATCAACACACCCTTCCTGCAACCCACACACACACACACACACACTCTGCATCGATGGCCGGCGGCTGGTTAGCCCCCCGTACATGCTTACGAAAAGAATGACGCATTGAACAGCTCTTCGGCGCAAAACGACGAGGACCGCTTCCTCACCCACCGGCCGTTCCCCCGTATGCTGACCGACGGCGTCGCCGAAGACTCCCGCCGTATGTCGAGCAGCGGCGGCCCCCCAGACACGACCAGCATCCCCGACTCCTCCTGTCTGCCCTCGGGTACGCCCGACCCATCCGCTTGCCGTAGCCCGAGGAGCTCGGCGGTGGCGGGCGTCACCCCTGCGTATGGGTCGGTGGGTGCGCCGCGCTCTGAGTGTGTGGGGGTGGTCAGTGATGGGGGGGCGGCGTGGTGGTCGGGCGTATACTGAAATTGGCGGGCCGATCGGGGCGGCCTCTCCTCCCGGTCAGACTCGTTGGACTCGTTGGCGCCGCTCATCGAAGGGGCGGGAGGCTGAGACACACACATACACCATGGATATGTGTGTGTTTCATGCAGTCTTGTACATCTCACTCACCTCAGAGGTCTGCCTGGCACGCCACATCGGCACGTTGAGCAGCGGCGACCCAGACGACTCGTGGCTCTTGGACAGGTCCGAGTCACTGTGTGTGATCGGGCAGCCCCGCGACAACTGCCCGCCCATTCCGTCGACTCCTTGCCTCTCGTGTGCCCCCCCGAAGAACCGGTCCAGGACCTGCTTGGTGACCAGGTCCGAGCGGGGCGGAGCGGGTGGCAGGGGGGCATCGGGGGCAGAGAGGCCCGGGTGTGAGGGGTCGTATGCTCGCGTGGCCGCCAAAAGGGTGCTGTCACCGGGTCTGCGAGAGATGTTGCGGCCCACTTCGCGACGCTTGATCTTCTCGCGGAGGAGCTTCTGAGAGTTGACGTCGTGAATCGCCTGCAGAGGGATGCCATCACAAGTCGAGAGACTCGGGTGTCGATGAATGAATGAATGAATGGATGCATGCCCACCTGTCGTATGCAGAATTCCATCCACTCCAGTGGCAGACGGTCGACTTTTAGGCTGACCAACGGATAGCTCAGCGCCTCAGAAAGCGTTTGCACCAGATACCTGCACCACGCGTCCCACATAAGGAGAAATTTGCAGATCCCTCGATTCGTTGCTTCATCCACCCGCCCGCTCACTGTCGGTCTCTCTGTCTGAGCGTGCTTCCTCGCCGCAAGCTCCTCCGGCTCTTGCCGCCCCACTTGCGAGCGGCACCCGTCGGGGAGGTGTCCGACGCGAACCCAATCTCATCGATGTGGTTGTTCCTCGGCGAGCCCCACTCATCCCCCGTGGACCTCATCGGGGTGGTCGGCTCACTCATCACAGCCAACTTGCGCCCTTGCGCCCTCGCCACGTCTTGGCCATCAGTCGCCCCAGCCAGCCTGTCGGTCGTCGAGAGCCGCTTTAAAGCCTCTCGCGGAGTGGGCGGCTGCGAGGCAGAGGCCTTGTGTTTGTTGCTTCGCCTGCGCTTCCTGGGGCTGCTGCCTGTGGAGAGAGAGAGGTCGGTGGGCTTAGTGAGGACGAGTGCGTTGCCCTTCGGGTCGTAGATGAGCGTGGCTTGTCTGTCGCGCCATCGCTTGTCTGCCTCGCGCATGCTGGTGACGATGGCCTGGATGAAGCGGCCGCAACACCCGATGTTCTGGGTGAGACCCAGCAAACGACGCTCCTCCTGAATGAAGAAGCACACACACGCGAATAAACACGGGCAACGGTCTCGTGTCTATTTGTGTATAGGAGTTCGGTCCTGTTCGCTTCCCCACCTCGTGGACGTATGACTGCTCGACAACGGATCGCCTGATCTGCCTGAAGACTCTGCGTGCGGTGCGCACCACAAATATGGCGTTGAGGAGGCAAATGAGCAGGATGAGCGAGACGGTGAACCACATGATGACGTTGTCGATGATGAGCCGCATGGCGATCAGGCTGAACATCCACACACCCAAGCCCTCCATCTCCATCCGATCAAGCACCTCCCTGTCGCGGTTGTCTGATTGATCAACACACACAACACACACGAACGGACAACACGCTTGCTAGTGTCTTGCTTGTCTCTCTCTCTCTCTCTCTCTCTCACTCTGTGAATGTCTGTGTGTTTTGTGAGTGAGTAAATGATTGATTGACTGACTGACCGAAAGGTTTGCATGAGATGTGTGCGATGATTGCGAGAGCGGCGATGCAGATGTAGCCGGTGAGCTCCAGCTGCGGGTTGCCGAGCGAGAGGAACATGACCAGCTGCACCCCCAGCTTGCGGACGAGGATGACTGCCTCCCAGAAGTAGAACTGCGGCTCGTACCCATTGTACAGGAAGCCGTACTTCTGCTTCACTTTGCTGTCCTGCAGGTTCTTCTTGTTGCGCCACAGCAACACCAACGCAAAAATGGGAATACCAAGACCTGCACGCACGGCACGACAAGACAAGAGAGTGACATACATTTGTGTGTGCCTGTCGTCAAGTGTGTGTGTGTGTGTGTGTATACCCCAGATGCATATGCCGAGTGCTGCCATGATGGCCCATCCCCTGTGCCAGCCCTCCAAGCACACCATTTCGAGAGAGGCGAACAGCCTGACGAGCAAAGCAAGAATCGCACATGTGTCCACCCACCCCTTCATCCGCCTGCCTCGTCTCTGACCTGTAGGTCTCGTGTATCTTGCGGCACTGGAGAAGCTGCAGGAGGTTTTTGGACACGTCGGGGTGGATGAGGAAGCCCGCGATGATGCACAGAGGGATGCAGTCCTGCAGGAACATGCGGAAGCGGCGCCACCTGGTTAGCTTGATGCCCATCATCATCTCGTATTGGGGACCGGGCGTCCGCCAGATGCCGCCGAAACGGTAAAAGTGCACGGGCTCGTAGCGGTCCTGACATGGAAGCATAGACATCATATCAGCAACACATACATACATGTATTGCATTGTTTCCGTTGATGTGTGAGGCGTACTGTCTGTATGAGCCAGGACGAGTACTCCTCGATGAATGCCTGATTGCGCCTCTCCCACCTCCACAGCACCAGCCCGCCCACCATTGTCATGGTCAGCGGCAGCAACACGGGCATCGCAAACCACACCAGAAAGTTGAATATCACAGTCTGAAACACAAGACACACAAGATACAGACCATGCACTCACACAACACTCTGCCCTCTCTCTGTCTTTGTACCTGAGGGTGTGTCATGCTCATCGAGTGTGGCTCTCCCTCCACCCATCCCCGCAACAAGCACTCGATCGAGAACGATTGCGTCGGAATGCCACCTGACCACGAGAACATCTCGAAGAGGTCGCCCAGCCAGTTGATGCCTCGGTCTATGCGAAAGCCGCCTTGGTCCCTTGGGGCCTCGAATGCCTTCTCCTCCTCCACAGAGGGGAAGGCCAGGTTGTTTTTGATGACCATGCGGAAGCGGGACAGCACCGAGATACAGCTCAGGTAGTTCAGGAAGATACGCAGCATTACTGAATGCATCGCCCTGGCAAATCGAGATGCAGAGAAAAGCCATTCGTGTTCATGTGTCTGTGCATACATATGTGTGTGTGTATGTGTGTATGTGTGTCTCACTTGGGTCTGACGCCAGACTCAAGCGACAGCGTCGCGAGGAAGAATCCGAACACCAAGAAGATGACGGCAATGAAGAACAGCCCAAGGACATTCTGGGCCGGGCCGGCGCACCTGCGGCACTGACGCAACGACTCGTAATCGCCCGCGGTCCAGCCCTGTTTGCACAGATCACACAGAAGCCCTTCATGGCTGCAGAGACAAGAGCAGCACAGACAGACAGGCTCTGTGAGAACAAGCCTCCGTCGTGTGTGTGAGTTCTGTGGTGTGGCACCCACGCGCCCACCCTCTGAGGCATGTGTTGTTCTGCAGGCAGAAGAAGGGCGAGAAGCAGGGAATGATCTCACCGACTTTCTCGCCAGGTTCCTTGACCAAATAGTGCCTGCATACATACACACAGCACCCACCCGACCAAGCAAGCTTGCATGGATGCAGATCAACCCACCCACCCACAAAGCCTCGAGTGCACTTGCTTACCCCTTGTGAGCGAACGGCATGTTGTGTGTGCCGAGCGGCACCGCCAGACCCTCGTCGCTCGTGTTGTTGAAGTCCCCTATGCACACGCCGCCCACTGGGCAGTCGGCACACATGCTGGTCTCGGGCGTCTGCTCGGGGTGAAAGTAGTACTCGCGGTGGCAGCCACACTCTGTGATGTTTGTCACACCTGTTCGTGGCAGATTCACACGCAGACACGCATGCAGGAAAACTGAGTAAGGGGATTGCAAGCTGACCCTCGATGGTGCGTGTGGATGAGAACTCTGGGCATCTCTTGCATCTTGCCGCGCCCCGCAAATCCTGGTACGTGTCGGCGCTGAGAAGAGGGAACGAGAACAGGACAGGCAGTGAGCAAGGTGCATAATCGACAGTAATTCCGTGCAGTCTCGTGGCGTACGTACCGGCACTTTTCACATGCTGCGGTGCCTTGGTTCCTTGCCATCGTGCCCTTCTGACAGGGATGGCACCGTACACCCCACTCCTCCTCTGGAATCCCCTCCGCCTCCTCGTAGGAACTGCGACAAAGACAACCACACACATGGTGCACTCGTCCGCTGTGCCGCCGTACACGTATCCGCTGACTTGTTTCTGAAGTGTCCTGTGGCGCACGATGTGCACTGTGCCGTCCCCTCCTGGTCCGAATACAGCCCATCGTCACAGAGCTCGCATTTCAGAGGCGCCCGCACCCATTCAGTCCCGTCCTCATCCACCACCTTCCCGCCCTCCAGCTTCGGCGCATACCGCCCCACTGGACACTTGACGCACTCCAGCGATGGAAGGTTGAAGCTCTCGCCGAGCCGGCACAGGGGGTATCCAAGCGGCCTGTGGGCGTGATTGCGGCCTACGATGCCCCCGCGCCAGACCACGCTCGGGACAGATGCACTGGAGGCCGAGTCGGCGTCTCGATCGCGCCACTCGAGGCCGGTTTGCTGCTCCCATACGGCCACAGGGTGGCCCACGGCATCCTTGCCATCGAAGTTGACGATCTCGATCATGGCCTGGCGGTCTTGGCTCTCGTCGAAGGCCACTGTGCCCGACAGACAGGGGAATGGAGCGAGTCTGCGCAGCTGAGTGGCGATGAGGGGGCCCGTCAGGTCTTGCGAATCTCCGCCGTTGGCCAAGGCCTTCTCCATCGCCAACAGAAAGGTGATCACGGCGTCGTAGGAGGCGCTGATTGTGGCACACTGATCCGCCTGAAGGAGCCGGTCTGGGGAGTTCTTGAGGGCGTCGGCCACCAGAGACTCCACCTCGGCAACCACGTCAGCCACATCGACAGTGAGGTCCAACACAGGGGCGGGCGTCGGGCCGGGGAGCGGAAGAGACAAGTTGGGGAAGAACTGGGCCACCACGTCGCGGACGATGAAGGGCCACTTGTCGACAAAGTAACGATACTCCTCCCCTCCCTTGTAGGCTCGAACAGCGAAGATACCTTCGAGCAGCTGGGTGGTCTCTGAGGCGTCGATCTTGGGCTGTGGAGCGGCGGTAGAAGAGAGGTGCATGAGGGGCGGGGGGCTGGTGGTGGGTGGAGGGGAGGTGATGGTGGCATTGGCTGTTTTGTTGGTCGGCACAGTGATGTCGTCTGTGACGATCCACACCCACCCCTGGCCGCCGATGCCCTGCTCATCCGCCTCACGGATAATCTGCCACAGGCACAGAAGGCAACACATGCAAACATGGGTATGGGGCAACACACACGCCCTTCGCTGCGTCGCTGACCTTGATGGCGATCGATGACATCACACACAGGACGACGACTCGCTCAGGGGAAGCACGAATCTTCCCCACGGTCCTCCGGATGGCGGAAAGCGTTGCTGCGTCATTGTTCTCCCCCCCAGGCGCAATCTGTCCCTCAAGCTCTAGCTCGATGTGTCGCACCTTCACTTTGCTGCCGTCGTCGCCCGATGGCAGGCTTGGCCCGACCACACCAGTCACTTGGAAGTTAAGGTCGCTGAAGATGTCCTGGGACGTCGAGTCGGCCGGTGTGCTCACAGCAATGAACTCAGACCAGCCAAAGGAGCCGATCAAAGATGCAGCGGCCTGGGCGATCAGGGCATTCGACGCTACCTGACGTGCCATACACACAAGAATATGAGCAATGGATGATTGTGTGTTTCTGTGTGTGGCTGTGGCTGCAAGCTGACCGTTCGGAATGTGAACGGGTATATTTTCTTGTCAGCGACATCGGTGTCGGATGCCACCCAGGGCAGGTGCGGTATCCCCTCAATCTCCAGCACCTGCCCCACCACCCGGCTAGACCCGCTGGTGGTGGGCCCCAGCACTCCCACGAGCCTCCCCTGCCACTTGCTGCGGTCCTCCATCCACCTGTACGACTCTATCCCAGACACAGATGGGCGGCCCTCTGTGTCCCTCGCCTCCCAATTGACGTGGGGCACCAGAGAGGCTGAAGAAGACAGCTGCTTGATGGACGGGCAGTAGGTGGCGTGGCGGTGGTGGCCGTGCAGGATGGCCGCGAGGACGGCGAGAAACCGCTGCAGGCCGCACTTGTCCTGGTTGCCGCTGAGGTTGATCAGAATGCCCACTGTCACGTTGTTGGCGGCCTGGAGAGGGGGGGATGAAGCTTGCCTGAACGACAAGGCGGCGGGGAGGTTGGAGGGATCCCTCCGCCGTCGAAAGATGTAAGTCGGCGATTGGCCGCAAGCTGGCCGGCAGTGCAGCAGGCACACCCAGAGCAGAAGCAGCGCCTCAGCAAGCCTCTTCATAACGATTTCTCGGATCTTGATCAGCTGATCTGGCAGGAAAGCTGAGTACAGGGGGGAGGTCAGCAGGGTCACGGTGGGGCACACGGAGCGGTAGCGCAGCAAGGAGATCACACAGGCGGCCTTCGCTGTGCTCAAATGCTGCCTTCGTGCGTGTTGGCCGCGTTTGATGGCCTTGAAAGGACCGAATCGCCGGACATCAGTCGAACGTCAACCAATGGACGTCAACCCAATCAATTGCTGAACTCCTTCCAATGTCCATTTGTTCGATGGTATACACTGCGGCGTGTCCGCGTCATGCTTGGCGTGTGGTTGCGTCTTGACGTCTCAAAGCCCCCACCACAAACCGTTTCACGGAAATCCTAACAACCGGCGTTTCTAGGCTCTGGACATCGCATCAGGGCCTGAGGGCGCTGAGATTAGTACAGCGTTCGACGCTTGGGTAGCCGTCGGAGAGTGCGAGACAGAAACAGCACTCCGCTCTCCTCTGTTGTGGTGCGAGGGCCTTCCAGCTTGAAGGAGCCTTTCTGTTGCCGAGCCTGTTGCTAGAAGCGCCAGCTACGTAGCCCAAGATGAAGATGAACGTGAGAGACGACACATGCCGCTGGCCGCCTTGTCAGTTCTGACGTGTCTTGTGCTGTGTGTTGTGTTCTCTCTGCCCAGGTGGAGAAAAAGCTCGAGCTTTCCCTCGACGACCTCATCAAGAGCGAGCGGAAGGGCGGCAAAGCTAAGGCCAAGACCAAGACCAAGGCCAAGGCCAAGGGCAAATCGGCTGCCCGCAAGTCGAGTGCCAAGGGTGGTTCCGGAAGTGGTGTGCGTCGCGAGAACCCCAAGAAGACACGCAGCGGCGGTACGCATACGACATCACTGCGACGTGGGTGAAGCGAGGAGATACGGATGGACGAGTGAGAAAGGAGAGGGAGGGAGGGAGGCACGGAGGTGTGGTAGCGGAGCGAGCGATGATTGAGGCGTCCGAGCGAGACTCGGTCAGCCACCATCCGTTCATCCACTTCCCCCCTCCCTCTCCCTTCACCCGCCCTAATGATGATCCATAATGCCATGCCATGCCACATCATCTCTGACTGGCACGCCTGCTCAACCGGCTCTCCTTTCCCTCTCTGGTGGTGTCCATGCAGGCAGCCGCAAACAACAGCAGCAGCAGCAGCAGCAGCAGTCGGCCAAGGCGGGCGCAGGCAAGAAGACCACTCGGCTGCAGCGTATGGTCAAGGCCAAGAAGGCGGGGGGCGGCAAGGGAGCGGCGGCCAAGGCGGCGGCGGGAGGGGCGGCCAAGGCACAGGCCAAGTCGCGCGTCAAGAGGACCGCTGGCGTGCGTGTTAGTCGACAGGGGGGCATCCAGAAGCGTCAGGCAAGTCGAGAAAGGACAGGATGGGGCCTGCATTTATGAACCGATTCCTTATGTCTGTTGTGCGTGGTCGTGTGTATGTGTGTGTACGCAGGTTGGTCGTTTCAACACCTCCCTCCGTCGCCAGGGCGTGTCGGCTGGCAAGAAGCAGCAGCAGGCCGCCAGGCCCAAGGCGGCCGCCCGCGGCAACCGTGCGGTGGTGGCGCGCAAGGGCCAGGCGGGCGGGCGCGGCAAGGGTTTCCAGATCAAGGCCAATCTCGGCCGTGCTCCCAACCCGCTCCCACAGGCGTTTGGCAGCCGTGTGCCGCTGCCCTCTGGGTCGTCCGTCGCGAAGCAGTACTACGGCGGTGGCCAGCAGCAGCAGCAGTATGGGCAGCAGCAGCAGCAGCAGGGCGGGTACTACGGTGCGGGCAAGCAGACCTACGTCAACCGCAGCAACCGTCGCGCTGCGGGCCGCCGTGCAAGCAGTGAGTAATGTGTGTCATCCCACCCAGCCACCCACCCAGCCAGCCAGCCAGCCAGCCAGCTGGGCGAGAGGGACGGTGTATATGCATGGATGTGTGTGTATCGATGGATGGATGGATGAGTGCAGGCTATGGCGGTTCGTATGGCGGTTCCTATGGGGGCGGGTATGGGTACGGCGGCAGCTACTACAGCCAGGCGCAGCGCTACCAGCCAGCTTCAGCCTACTTCAGGCGCGGCCGGAGGAACAGCTATAGGGGAGCGGGGGACGCCAGCGGGTACGGCTACACCCAACAGGTGGCTGGTGGGCAGACGTCCTACAGCAACTGGTGATAGACCGACCGACAACACACCCTAGCATCTAGTAGATGCGTGAAGGACACGTACGTGGCATGCATACACATATGCACGCCTACACGTGTGTTTGCATCAAGGACAGACACATTGAATGGATGGGCGGACGGGGCGGACGGGACGGGACGGACGGACGCGGGCTATCTCGTCAAAGTGCTCGCCGACGCACTGGAGTGTTTTTTCTCGTGTGTATCGTGCCTGTGTACATTTCTTGCTTGCCTGCCTGCCTGCCTGCCTGCCCATCTGTCTGGCTGGCTGGCTGGCGTGGTTGGGCGAGGGGTTAATTACTACCGGCAGTTAAGGCCGTGAAAGCACTCTATCTAGCTAGCTTTATTTTCGGCGCCGTGGCTGCGTGTATATTCCATGGTACACCCATGCACAACTTGCGAACCTGCGGATGGACGGATGGAGGGTACGTGGACGGTGCGTGGATGGTGCGTACGTGAGATCATCCCGGACCCGTTACTGCGTCATTTGTGAATTGAATGCAAACGTGACAGTTAACTGACTTGACAGCGAATTTGACACGCGGCTTCTCCTTTTGCCTGCCTGCCATGCTCTCCCCATCTCGTGTCTCACCACACGTACGCACACATCACTCTCAGAACCCCGTTTTGCCAGCAGAACGCAAAGGCGGTCATGCCAAAAAGGCCGAGTGGAGAAGGGCACACAAAACCTTCTCCGAACCAACACGCGCACACGCCTCTCTGCTCACCCTACTAGAAAAAGCCTGAAGAGGCGCTGCTGACAGTCAGCTTCCTTCTAGCTGAGCTGTCTCCTACTAGCGAAACGAGCGCAGTCATTCACATGACATGGAGGCATTTATCTACTTTTTCTTCCTCCGGACATCAGCATAGACCATGCGGTGATCGGAGGCGTTCACAAGATAGTTGAAGCGGCTCTCCGTACTCGGCCATATAACCTCTAAGCAGCAAACAGTACAATGAAGAACAGGTACGTGGACATGGAGTCTTTATACCACGCGGCCGCCCCTCTGTCTCCCTCCCCACCCTCCACCCCCCACACCCAACCATAGCTCACCTGACTTGAGAACGTTGAACGTCTTGGATGGCAAGACATAATCGACGCGCAGGGCAAAGTCTGCCGTGTGGAAGGCCGGCGGGATAGACTCTCGTGATGTGTCGTTGTTCTCCAAGCCTCCGAGGCTCGCAGGCGTGGGGAATCGAGCAATGCGAGGATGCTCGATCAGCCGTTCGATGACTTCGTTGATACCGTCACCTCCGTTTGGGTCGTTGTTCTGAACATCCAACCAAAGGAAGACGCAATTATGAGTGCAGTGCACTTGTAGCGTCCCTCATCGATCAGGATAGGATGCCTATTCTGCTCTTTACTTGGTCTCCGAAGACAGCAAAGTTCGCCTTAAGGTCTGCCAGGCCCTTTGTACGCCTTCCTCTGTCGTCAACGAGGTAGGTCTGCAGACATGAAGCACGCAATGTGTGTACACGCTGTCTCTTCGCGTCTCTGTAAGCAAAATAAGTGTATGGCCCGTGGCTTACAGCGTTGACATCAAGGTAGTCGATCCACAGGCGGATTTCGTCCGCATTTCGCTGGACGTTATAGAGAAACGGCTGATCGAAGGCAGGCGGCGTGGGGTGGGACACGAGCATGTGAAATGTATACTCGTCGTCGTCGGTCTGCTCAAGGCAGGGAAAAAATAACACACACAGTACACACGCTTCATCGCCTCTTTCTGCCTCTCAATTTCACGTATGTGTGTATGTGTACGTACCGTGACAGCCACAGGCAAGTCAATGTGGTTTTTGGAAGACAAGCGCAGCTCTGCCACAGCCTCGGGCGAGTAATAGTCGGGTGGGTTCGTGTTACGGATGCGGTTCCCTGGCATGTCCTGGCAAAGCAGAGGAGCGAAGGAAGGAAACAAAGGACGTGCAGGTCGGTCTCACATCACATCATTGAGCATTTTTCCCTCGCCTCTCCTTACTTACGGCGTACCTTCCACTTAAACAGCCTCCAGCTTCGCATGGCCTTCTCGTCGAAGGGGAAGACTGACAGAATGGCGAAGGCAAATTGGCCCGGACTACACAGACACAGACAATGCCGAGAAGCTGTCAATCAATCCGCAAGGCATTCCAGGCAGTCTTACTAGAAACCGAAGCCGTAGCCATCGTCAGGCAGGCTGATGTTGCCGTCGTTGTTGAGGTCCGCCCGCGAGAGAACCCCGGTGTTGCTGACGATTTGCATGGAGTAAGTGTAGCTGATGCCCTCCACATCGTCAGCTTGGGGAACCTCCAGATACTTTTCCTTGAACAAGTCCAGGGTCTCTCCTGCGAGAAGAGAAGCGAGAGAAGGAGCGACCGAGCAACTCGACATGCAAGAACATACACGTCCCCCACAGCTCAGCTACCTGATGGGTCATAATCAAACTCCTTCAGAGCGAGAATGTCGGGCCGCACACGCTGAATGGTCTCAGCCTGCAACACCATCGACACAAACCACGCGTGTCGATGTCTTTGCTTGTGCATGTGACGGCGTACTGCCAGAGAGATCTCTTCGCTCCCTTCGACAAGCATGTCGAAGAGGCTTCCTTCTTGCCCTTTGGGATTCTCGCCGACGAGGGCCGCATTGAAGGAAGCAAGGCGAACTGCACCTGGTGGCGGTGGTCCCGGGAGCTCGTCACCCTCTCTGAACTCGGTGATGAGCTCGTGAATGAGCTCAGTGAGCTTTTCCACGAGGTCGTCGCGGGAATGCGAACTAAGAAGGCCGTTCTCGAGAGATGGTTGAGCGGAGGCGAGTCGAAGGACGAGGAAGAAGACGAGGAGCACATTCCACCAGGCGACGAGACGCCGCGCACAAGAGTCGTAGAGCGGATGAGCCAAGTGAGAGTCCATCTCTTGTGTGGGCGGGGCGCCGTACGAAGCACACTCCGTACAGGGCGCGTAACGCTCAGGCGATCCTGTCCGAGGGATTTCCCGCGCCTGTCTGTGTCACAGCGAACGTCCATCTGCTGGACCTACCTGTCCATCCATTCATCCGATCCCATCCACAAAGCCGCGTCCTCTCGACGATCGGCCTGCTTTTTGCGGCTGTCTTCCACTTGCAACACGATGGGCTGTTGCCAGGCGTCCCAAGCGACTCAAGATCCACCCTCAAGGGCCAAAACAGCCAAGGTAGCGAAGGGCATCGCCAACAAAATCAAAACCAAAGGCTTCCCAGACCGCGAGGAGCCGCCAGCTGTTAACCAAGACCAAGACCAGGACCAAAACAACGACACGAGGCCAAACCCAGTGGAAAGCGTCACTTCACCATCGCGAGTTGGAGTGTTGCGGCTACCCTTTTTCGGCAGGGGCGGTCCGCCGTCGTCAGCCTCTGTGCGGTCTGGGTTCATGTCGTCAGGCAGGGACGAGGGGCTGAACACCACGCTCCAAAGCAAAGGCTCGAGCTTGAAGAGGAGCCAGACCCGGCGTCGCAAGAGGCGTTTTGACGAGTCCCTTGGCTCAGCCGGCAGGCGACTGAGGAGCTCTCTGGGCCGTGGCAAGACGATCGGCTCGCAAGAGAAGATCGGCAACATAAGTGCGGTTCGGGTGCATGAGTGGCTCAAGAAGCTGGAAGCGTCCAGGGATCAGCTCGAGTTTTGGGCATCCTGGCAGAGACTGGTGTTCGAGCCTGCCGTGCAGAAGGACACGGGAAGCCTCAGGGGCATAGTGACGAGCTACTGCAATGGGAGGACAGTCGAAGTGACCCTCAGCGGCGAAGAGACGCTCATGGTGGGGCTGGCGGTGGCCTTCGTGACGCAGACCAAGCTGCCGACAAGGGCCATCGAAAAGCTGGTCGATACGCAGAAGGAAATCAAGGTACGAGGGAGGCACCCCAGGGCCGTGTGTCTCTCCATTGTACGGCGAGATGCGGTCCTTTCTGCGTTGCAGGCCAAGCGTTTGAGCCTTTGGTGTCGGCTGAAGAACATAGGTCTCGACATAGCGGCCATTGATGCGGGATACACTCTGGAGGCCCCCGTGCCGTGGAATGTCGCAGGCGTCATCATCCCCCACGGTGAATGGGTCGATGCCATCATGGCCAAAGGTCAGACGAGCAGCAGCCAGGGCGGAAACAGCTGACGTATCACCCAATATCTTTCCTTGCGATCTTTGTTCCGTAGGTGGCACAGCAGCCAACTACGGCCACTCGTTGTTTCCAACGGAGCCAGAGTCTCGCCTTGCCTTCTCCCTCCCAGATAGTCCCTCCAGCCCCCTGGCGCCACCAAGTGACCCCGCATTACCTCCTGTCAGCCCTGCCCAGGAGGGTGGCGACTCCTCTGTGCGCCTGTCGGAGGTACGCGTAAGGCTGGCCGCCGCAATGGGGTCGTCTCCAGCCAGCAGACCGCAAAACACCATACATCATGATCACGGGGAGACCACAGGGGTGCGAGCACGAAAGAGATCGTCCAAGGGCATGTTCCTTTGGCTGTTTGCGGGGCGGAAGGAAGAGGAACCCATGATTGCAAAGGTACCTGAGACACATGCGAGGAGAGCTGTCTGTGTGTGTCTCATCTGCATCTGCCTCTGCGCTTCTGCCGTCTTGTACGCAGTCTGTTGCGGACGCGCTGGTGCATTTTAAGCTCCTGGAGGTTTCACCGCCCCCAGAGGAGGCCTTGGACGTGCTGAGCCTTCTCATGTTCCGGAAAGTGGCCCTCCAGCTGGCCTTCGGGCCTGAGGGCCCGACACGGCTGGCCGTCCTTCTCAACCTGAAGACGCATGAGCCCACACTGGCAAGGGAGCTGTGCGACGCACTCCACTTCCCGTATCACACCGAAGCGAGTAAGGAGGACCGACCGTATGTGTAGCAGAGACACACGTGTGGGATGCTCATTGGTCTTGTTTCTGGTTTGTTCGTGCAGTGCGTGACTTTCCGGGTCACTTTGAGGGTGAGCCGGTGACGATTGACTTCACCTGTGATTCTAGCGGCTATGGCGTGGCGGTCAAGCTCGTGGGCAGGGCCGTCCTCAATGCATGATGTGTGTCTGCGTATCCATGTGCATCCAGGCCCTTATACACTGTTACTTGTGACGCTTTGTGACGCAGATGAGTCCATGCAGTGTTCAGTGCTCGTTCAAGATATGGTCGAGACAGCTGCTGTCGATGGACTGCATTAACATGGCTACATATCACTCTACAGACAAATCTCACTTGCTGCCGACCTTGCCTCGTGTCCAGGTGTCTATGTAGTCACTCAGCTTCTGCGCATCGGCTGTGAGGTACGTCTGCCTCAGCCTGCGTGGCGGGACCTATACACACACAAACCAACCTCCTGACCCACTGAGAATTTCCTTCTCCATCTTTCCTCCCCACCATGTTCTTTGGCGCGATGTAGTCTTCGCGATAGCGCGTCAGCCACATCTGTCTGTCATACTCACTACCATTGATGCAAGAACGACAGACAGGAAGCGACAACTTATATGCACACCAGGCCAATGCAGTGAGTATGTTCGTTGCGTTGTCTCCCACCCGTAGTTGACAATCGAGCCACAGAGGTCAGCGCGGTACCTGGTAGTTCGGTACGGTCGAGCCCAGATTCCGTATTCGCTGCGACAACACATCCATGCATCCAGCTACATTCCTCACACTGTGGGTCAGGCCACAGAACATACCCTCCTGCAGTGCTGTATGTGCCTTTCGGGCCGCCGCTGACGATGGAGGATGGGGTCGTCTGGGGGCGGGTGGCCTCCTCGAATTCCACAAACGGCTTCTCCAGCCGGGCTTCGAACCAGTTGCCTACCAAGCATTTGGCATTGTAGTATCTGGAGCCCACCATGGGCACGCCGGTTTGGCCTCCCGTGTCCATGATCCTGTGGGGCGCATCAGACAGCAAGAAGGATGGTCAGGAACGAAAGCGATGTCCGCAACTCACCTGCAGTCAGTGACGATGGGCCCTTTTGGTGGCCTCGTCACCGAGTGCACAAACAAAGGAGGGGCGTGGGGGAAAAAGTCGAGACGACGTTTCGTCCGTTGGCCAACGGCTCATGCACTGTCCATCAGTCATGTGAATATCAGTAATGCGAGATAGACAAACGCATCTATCCACAGCTGCCCCCTCTCACAGATGCACTGGCATGTCAAGAGCGGCTACTACTCTCTGAGGGATGGAAGCACAACGAACACCGGCAACAGATGCCGTACTGTCCGAGCAAGATGCCACGCCGCTCCACCGCTGCAGCCGCCGTCCCGCTTTCCTTGCCTGTACGTTCCATATTCAACACATCAAGACACACAAGTTCAGCCATTCTCTCTGACTTACCGACGAGGTAATCGATAGAGAGTTCCTCTCCCTTGGCCACATCCCTCGCAGCCACCACGCAGCAACGTATGGCCATTCTCGGCCCCCCTGCCGTCTCGCCGCGCGCCGATGTCACGGCGATGGATGGCTCCACACAGTAGCAGTTTGGTGCGGACGGCTGTGCGGTCGCATCGGGGCATTTGTGGTTGAAACATGATTGGAATGGGAAGATCGCAAATCCAGACAGGGCCGGCAGCTGAAAGGAGCATCGGGCGGTGGAAGGAGCATCGGACGGGGAGGATGGGACACGCACGTGGACCTTCAGCGACTCGGCAAAGTGGTCTTGGACTGCATGTATATGGCCACATAACAGACACAATTCGCACAAAGGCCCACGGTGCATTATCTTCCGTGTGGCTGGTCTGGTGCGTGGGCTGACCTTGCAAGCTCGTCGTGTCGTGTTCCTGGTCTGCCCAGGCCCGCCCGGACTCCACATCCACGGTGACGGCATGGTGCCGGACAGTGAATGAGAGGGCGTTGACACGGATGGCACCGATACACTCGGCCAGCGCCTCAACCGTCAAGACATCAGCTATCTCTGCGCCCAAACACACACGTACACAACATCAGCAATACGTGCGTGGAGGTGAATCCGCCGATGGCATTCACACAGCGGCGCACCTGGCAACATTTGTTGTAGCCGGTGTGCAGCGGTGCGTGTCTGGTCCTTGACAGCATTGCGGTAGAACGCATCCAGCTCGGCACGGCCCGCCTCATCAATCAATGACGGCTCATCCCGTCCCTCAGCCTGCCCTCTGTCGCTGCTGTCGTCAGAGTCGCTGCTGCTGCTGCTGCTGCTGTAGGTGGGCCGCTGCATTGTCCTCCACCTATGTGTGTACACAGACAAGAGTGTCGACATGACTGCACCATCGTGGGGGACGTACCAAGGCTGTGAGCGTAGGGGTGCCCATGGGAAGGTTTCGCCGCCATTGATGCCCACGGCGTACTGGGCGAACATCTTTGCCGCCAGCAGGTAATATTCGTTGTCGCTTGACAGCGCCAGCCCGGCGTACTGAGCTCCACAGTCTGTTGCGCGACAAAGCCGGGAATGAAACTGCACGCAGACACACACAGGCATGCATGCATAAAGGATGAGCAATAGACAGACAGGCAGACACCCACGCCCCTTCTCACCTCTGCATCGGCTGCGGCTCTGCAATCTTCGTGGCAGTACCTCTCCGAGCACCCTTCACTCGCTCGCAAGCAGCTCACGAACAGCACAGTAAGCTCCAGCTCCACACACGGTGCGCATTCGCCGTCATTCACTGCGCCACTGGACGACGATGAGGAAAAGACAAGCGCCCCTTCTGATGCGTCGATTGCCGTCAACTCCAGCTCGACGGGCTTCTCAGAAGCCGTGGCCGGTGGTCGATCGTCGCCGCTTCGGTCCTTGACCTCGAGAGGCAGCGGAGAGAAGCAGTAAGAGCAGTAGAAACGCGCGACGTTTTCCGCCCACAGAAAGGGCGCTGCCCAGCCTTGACAGGCGGCTTCCTCGACGAGAATCTGCCCCTCCTTGATATCTTGGTTGGCGAACACACCGATGCCGGCGCCAGGGACGTCAGCAATGGAGAGGCAGGGCGGAAAGGGCTGGCCCGAAAGCTGCATGCGAAGCAGCTCATTCTCATGACGCACACGCTCCATCGACGCTTCGCTTCTCTATCTCACACAGGCTCTCCCTCTAGACAGCTGTGTGACAGGCAGACACAGACAGACAGACCTGATCATCAACGGACAAGCACATCCGCAAGCAGCCACAAGCGATGAATCATGCGCTTACTTGGTGGATCTTTCATGAAACCCTTCTGCATTGAAGATGCATCTCTCTCATCAGGCAGCGGCAACCACATCGATTGCGAGCTTAAGTTTGCGTGAAACCTACGAGTCAGGACTCAGGGGAAGCAAAACCGAACAGCACCGCAGCGCCGTCTGTGCATTGCCAGGCTGGATCTGCGGCTTTTGAGTCTGATCTTTCACCTGCAGCCCCCATCGGCCAAATCTGTGACTGGCGCCCTAGCTGCCCTGACTCAGCGGAGCAGCGGCTGGTTGTGTGATAATCAGCAGATCCCAGGATGAGTGACGGCCGTTTCTTCCAGACGACGAAGCGTGGGGAGATCCACGAGCTCAAGGAGGAGCTGCACAGCGCCAACAAGGACAAGAAGAAGGAGGCCGTCAAGAAGGTGATAGCCGCCATGACCGTCGGCAAGGACGTGTCGGCCCTCTTCCCCGACGTCGTCAACTGCATGCAGACCAGCAACATCGAGCTCAAGAAGCTCGTTTACCTCTACGTCATCAACTACGCCAAGGCCCAGCCCGAGCTGGCCATCCTCGCAGTCAACACCTTCCGCAAGGACTCACTCGACGCCAACCCCCTCATCAGGGCGCTCGCCGTCCGCACCATGGGGTGCATCCGGCTCGAACAAATCACAGAGTACCTCGTGGAGCCGCTCAGACGATGCTGCAAGGTGAGGGAGTCCGTGTTGGGACAGACAGACAGACAGAGGTGGATGAGTGCGTGATATGTTTGTGTTGTTTGTGTCAGGATCAAGATCCCTACGTTCGCAAGACGGCGGCCATCTGCATCGCCAAACTATATGGTCCGCCCGCGAAGCGCAGGATGAAAGACACAAATGCTGGCTGGCTGGTCTTCTCATCTCATCTCATCTCATCTGTGTGTTTCCTGTGTGGTTGTGTGTACCAGACATCAGTCCCGAGCTGGTGGAGGACCAGGGCTTCATCGACATCCTCAAAGGTGCGGCAAGAGAGAAACGTACACTGCGGACGCGGCGAGTGGAGAGGAGGGCGGCTGTGCCGTGCTGTGTGTGTCTGTGTGTCCGTGATAGACATGTTGAGTGACGGCAATCCCATGGTTGTGGCCAACTCCGTCGCGGCACTGAGCGAGATATCCGAATCGGCTGGCAAGAACGTCCTGCGTACGACAAATACACACATTGACAGACAGACAGACAGACAGACAGGGAGGGAGGGAGGGAGAGTGGCAAAATTCACGCGTGTGTGTTTGCTGTGTCGTGTGTGTCAGCGATGAACGAGAACACGATATCCAAGCTGCTGGCGGCCCTCAACGAATGCACTGAGTCAGTACACAAACAAAAGCACACAACCGACCGACCGATCAGCCGTGTGTCATTCATTCACGTGTGTGCTTCATTTACGTGTAGGTGGGGTCAGGTGTTCATATTGGATGCGATCGCCACCCACACGCCCACGAGCGCACGAGACGCCGAGTCCATCCTCGTGAGCGAGATTCACACACACACACACACACACACACAAAGTGGATGGGATGGCAACGTGTCCTCGTGTGTGCATTGATTGATCAGGAGCGTGTGACGGCTCGTCTGTCTCACGCCAATGCGGCGGTGGTCATGTCGGCCATCAAAGTCGTCATGCGGTTCCTCGACAGGTGGGTGGGCGGGCGGGCGGCCGGGTCGCATAACAACCATGC